CTCGAGTCTGATAGGACAGTCCTTCATCACATGATTGGTTTTTCCATACCTAAAGCAGGCACCTGAAGTTCGATTGCAAACCCCTTTGTGTTTTCTACCACACTCTAAGCAAGTCGGTATAGTACCACTACTTTGGCTTGAGCTACTGTAAGATCCCGTATTTTGTCCTTTATTCCCAGTAAATGAACGACTTCTTTTGAAATTACTTCTAGACCTTCTTTTGAAATTCCCTTTGTTTCTTTGCTGCCAAAATAGCTTCCACCATTAATGCCCTGTCCAACACGTTCACATACGTGGGTAGATTCAAAACTCCCACCCGATCCAGTATATCTAAATCTAGCTCACCCTCAAATTTGTGGGCCTTTTTGTAGTCCGTGTCCACCATATGAGGAGCAAACCTGGCTAACTCAGTAAACTAAGCCTCATACTCAGCTACAGACATTCTACCTTGTTTAAGTTCCTGAAATTTTGAAACCTTCCGGTCCCGAAAGCACTAGGGAAAGTACTTGTCGTAGAAAATTGTATTGAATTGGGTCCATGTCATGTTCTCATTGCCATTCCGAACTAGGAACTACCATCTTCGAGCTTCGTCCTTCAGAGTGTAGGTGGCCAATAAGACTTTCTGAACTTCGGAACAGGGAAATACTTCGAATAATTTTTCCATCTCCAACAGCCAAGTTTCTGCCTTTAGTGGTTCAATGCCACCCAAGAAAGTTGGCGACTTCATCTTCATAAATTTTTGAGTCATGTTGATTATGTCATTGTTGCCCGCCTCAACTTAAGTCGGCGGGGGTAGAGGCGGTAAGGGTTGTTGCCTCTGTTGTTGCATTACCACTTCAGTCAAAGCTGTAAGCATTTGTTCCATTCTGTTCATTCGGGCATCTGAGGATCCTGTTGCATCATCACTTCTTGCATTGTCCATTTACTATAGGTAAACAAAACTTTATAAACATAGGCAAATAGTCCTTGTTACTTCATTCAGATTCATTTGATCATATTTGGATTTATGCTTTCGCTTTCAAACTAACACATTTAGACATACAAATGGAATGCCCCTACTTCTTACTAGGACATCCTAAGCTCATATGGACTCATGTCTGTGGTATAACTCGTGCTCTGATACCACTCTGTCACGACCTAAACCCACCCCTATAGGTTTAGCATCGTAACTGGCCAGTAATCCTTGGATTACCAAAGGCCTCTTGGCATAATAACATATAGCAGGGGCTGCGGAAGCAGATATTTAAGACATACATAGTCTATAGAGCTCTGTAGACATACATGGGTCAGATAACTTAAAACTTTTTATAACAGAGACGCAAACTTTACACATCACTTTAGAATACACATTAACAGACATCTTAACCAACACAACTTAGTGCAAACATAGCTTTAAGTGATAACCAAAACAGCCATGAAACTTGACTTCAATCGGAACCTCCTCGAGAGACACAAAGGTTGGCTGACAAGACTGAAGCTTAGGCCGTCAACTATGGGCCTGGTCGCGTGCCTGCTCACCTACATACATAATATAAATAGTGAGTGATTGCCCAGTGAATAATAACAGAGTAAAGGTTTTACTGAATGATGTCCGTACAGAAACATAACCGTGTACGTGTTCGAGTGTCATAACATAGCAGATTCATTGGCATGATTGCATTTGTATTCAGAACTTAAACATACAACATATCATGGTACGTGGCATATCCATTGGTATTAACAAATCTGATGACCCACAAGGGACTGCCATGAAGGCTTTCTGATGACTCATGTGCACAAAGACGTTTCTGATGACCCATAAAAGGGACCTGATGACCCATAAAGGGACTCATATCACATGATGTTAGTGATGCCATGGATAACTTTTAGAATTTTGGACAATCATTTATTCCTTTTAAACATAGCATATCATTTCAAAAACTAGTCATTTCATATCATAATGTATAGAAAATATTTAACATTGAACATAACTTTACAAAGTTATTAGTCACAAATAACTGGTAGCTCCGAATAGACGGCGAAGTGGGCAATTCACTTATCTTAGAGCGCGTGACCTACATAACATGATATATACATACGTTGAATACACACGCTTGGTTGAGCATAACTTATTTTGTTGTTCTTAGTGTGTCTCTAGCCTTTAACCTCATTATGGAGTCCTAAACATGGCCTAGGAATGCCTAGGATGGAATGAGGATGCACAAATGTATTTGAAACACTTAGCCAAAATTTTGCTGAAACAGGGGTCTCGTTCGAGCGTGGCTTTCTTCGCTCAAGTGAACATGCCAAAAGTGAGTGGTCGCTCGAGCGTGGACTCCTTCGCTCGAGCGTTTTGTAAAATGTGAAAAAGTTCTTGTTGCATGAAATCTCCACTCGACGCTCGCTAGACGTTCGTTCGTGCGTGAAACACAGTCCTCGCTCGAGCTCAAGTCTTGTCACTCGTGCATGCGTCCAAACATGCAAATTCCTGAGAGCTTGCAATTTACGCTCAAGCCAGCCTTTTGTCGCTCGAGCGGGAATATGAAAATAAGGCGGTCGCTCGAGCGTAGAGTCCTGCGCTCGAGCGTGGAAGCAAAATTCTGGGTTTTTCAGATTTGCTCCCAAGCTTCAAAACATGAATCTAACACCTCAAAACTCATCCTTTTGGGCAAAAATTCTGGAAAATATTTAGAAACTCAAAAAACATCATGGTTTAAAGATCATTTCATGAAATCAAGGCCCAAAAGTATGCCAATTGAACAAAATTCCAACATAAACTTTATGAATATTTCAAGAACACAACATGCAAGAATTTTCTTGAACTCAACCTCTTCAAAACATGATCAAACTTGACAATTGGATAGAAAACATGGTGAATAACCAAAATGTAAGTGAAATGAACACGTACATGAAAGAATTCTTTGAAAACATCCTCAATTTGTGAAGAAATGAACATGCATGCATGGTATGGCCCAAATCTACCCAATTCTAGTGCAATTCCTACATGAATTCACTTAATTCACTAATAATCTTGTAGAATCTAATTCAATTGCTCAATTAAGGGTTTAATTCCTTGCCTAGAGGCTTGAATCTACAACAGTTGAAGTTGAAACCCTCTAATCTTCTTCACTCGACAACAATTCTAGCAATCCTTGGCTTTGAATTCAAATTCTCAAGGCTTGGACCAATTCTCCCTTCTCTCCCTCACTCTCACATTTGTATCATCAAAGGAATGAATTTGGGAGTGTTTGCTGTTCAAAGAAGTCCACTAATGCCTTAATTAGATTTGGACAAAAGTGTAATTAATTTAAAGCCAAATAAAATGACATTAATTTAATCTAATTTAATCGTTCCAAATTGACTTTTAATTAAACTTACCATAAAATCCTATAAATCCTAATTAACATATAAATCAAGTCAATTTCTTAGTTGGATGCCGATAAGGCTTTCAATTCGCAAATTAAAACTAAAACATGAACAGATCTTTCTATTTCAAACAGATATAAATACAAAATGATGCAATGCACATAGAATTGACTTGGGATTTCTTCTTAATTACTTATTTGGTATACTTAAACATGGATTAGTGTTACTCATAGGTCGGGGTTGTTACACTTCCAAAACAACCAAAATAATTTTTTTTTTACAGACACAAATCAAATAAATTGCCTCTTACACCTCTCTCGCAAATGTGTAGGACATTTGGCATGGAGATTCCAAACAGCAATGGATGGTGGGCAGCGATGCTCGTCGGTGAACACCAGGTCGATGGTCGTCGTGGTCGTCTCTCTTATCGTTGTGAAATCCTGTAGTCTGGTTCGCAACTTCTCTCTCTCTCTCCCTCCCTTCTCTCCTCTTTTGTTTCTGTTTTTTGTTTTATTACTTTGCTTTCCAAAACGCGTGAGCTCTGCGTGCATCAAATTTTCGGAGGGAAACCACCTTCGAGTCATTCGAGCCGTTGCATATTCGGGGCCTGTAGCTGCTCTGTTATTGTATACATAAGTAATGCGGGTCCAATCCACCAAGATCACCATGTCCTCAAGCTTAAGGCCTAACTTATGACTAGCAATTTAGCCCGAGGCCCAATCCAGTCAAGTAGGGTGTATTATTTTGTAATGCCCCCAAATTAATTAAATTAAAACATTGCTTCCATTATGCTTAAACAAAAATCATACATCGTTAATTAACAATATTAACCCAACATCCATTACAACAAATTGCACTTTTGGCGACCAAATTTGGCAACTAAAAAAAATTTAGTTGCCAAAAGTTGTGGAATTGGCAACCATAAATTAAATTAGTCGGCAAAAGTACAATATTTAGCTACTAATTTTTTTTAAATGGGGTATATTGATTATTGGCAACTAAAAAAAATTTAGTCGCTAAAAATGCCGCAATTCGCAACTAAAAAAATACTTTAGTTGCCAAACAGTTAGTTTTGGCTACTAAAATTACTTAGTCGCCTATTGTAAACACAAAAATTTACTTTTATTTTTGGCGACCAAAAGTTTGGTTACCAAATATTTATTTTCAACGACAAAAAAATATTTTAGTCACTGTATAGTTAATTTTGGCTACTAAAATTATTTAGTCGCCGAATGAAAAACGAAAATGACTTTTTATCTTTGGCGACCAGAAGTTTGGTCGCCAAAAATTTATTTTTAGCGACATAAACAAATTTTAGTCATCAAAGAACTAAAATATTTTGAGGGAGACATTTCAAATTTTGAAGGGATTTATAAAATGAATTGGCAACCAAAACGTTTAGTCACCAATTGTGTAAAATGACCAGAAAATACACATTTGGGCCACCAAAAAAAAAAGTTTCTAAATGTTGGATCTTTAGCTACTACAAATAATTTTGTAGGTATTTATTTAACTTTTAGCCATTACATTTTAGTCGGCAATTGTAATTAAAATTTTGGAGGAAGGACCTCAAATTTTGAAAGAATTTCTAAATTAATTCGCTACTAAAATATTTTGTAGGGCAAAGAAATGCCTGTATTAGTTATTGGCGACTAAAAAAATAGTCAGGGAAAAAAATAATAATGAGTTAGGGCTTAAAAACGTGGGTCTCTCTCTCTCTCGCTCGTCTGCCCTTCGATTCTCTCTCTCGCTTTTGTCTCCATCGCCGTCAATACAGGAGCACCATTGGCGCCGAAGCTCGTCGCACACGAGGACCATCACAAACCAGCAGCCTATATCGTCTTATCTCGGAGTCACGATCCATCATTGGAGCACTACCCTAGGTATGTCCTCTCTCTCTCTCTCTCTCTCTCTCTCTCTATATATATATATATATATCTGTATCTCAGACTTTGTTCCCCTAATTTCGGCCTCTAGGGTTTTTTTCTTCTTCCATCCGCATACCTTCTTCACGCAAACCTACCCCGAAATCGACCCAGCCACCGCCATTCATATAGTGGGCAAATGGTTTCTTCAACTCTTCCCGTCTCCACCTCCATATCTGCGAAATCCATTTTTGAAACCCTTCTTCAAACCTTCCTTTCCTAGATAATCGAAAACACCAAGTGTTTATTTTAAATGTGGAATAAAAAGCATGATCTGAGATTAAACATTTTGATTTTAATTGCCTTGTATTTGTATGAAGTTGGGTTTGCTCTGAAATGTCCACAAATAGACCATTTCGTAAAAAAGAAGAAGATCAAAATTGTCAAGTTAAGTTCTGAAATAGTAGCATCTATCAACTGTTCATGGCTTTAGAGTATAAATTTTTACCCAATAAAAACAATTCAGACTTTAAGAGCCAAAATATTTGCGTAATGCTATTTTGTATCTCGTAGGCCAATCTAGAACCTTCTTGTTCGTCGACTTCCATTGGCACATGAGGTGAATTTTGCTCTTTCCATTGCTTTAGTAATTGTTGATAACTATGGAAAATAGCTCTTAGTAAATATTTAAATGAGAATTGTTACAACGTTTATTTCTGTTAATTTTGTAAAAGCAGCAACCTACTTTTGCTTATGTGTTCTATAAGCCAGTGAAAATCCATTAGAAATTCTTGCTCTCTGTTTTGCTATTCTAACCAAGTTTTGGGGGGAAATAATCATGCTATTGTGTTCCTTCTTGTGTCTGTTATTACACTGTTAATAGATTTTTCAAATTCAGTTCTATAGCATAGATATTCTGCTAATATTGCTGAATATAATAGATATACTATTCAAAGGCATGTGCTTAGTTGAGATGTATCTTGAATTTTGGTTTAACTATAATTGAATATGTTTCAAGCAATAAATGATAAAGAGTCTTGTTGGAGTGCATACACAAAGTTATTAAGCAAAATAGAGAAAATATGATTAAGATATATACCTGTTTGATATTTTACTTGTTGGCTGCTTATCTTTCCTTTCATTTTATGCACAATAGATCTTCATTCAATGTGTTTAAACCATGGTTAGAAACCCGTTACCAGTGTCCTTGAATCCTTGGTCCTGAAATATTGTCTTATGATAGATATTTTGGAAGATGTGCCTAATTATTATGGGGAACTGTAGTCTTGCTGCATATGGTGACAATTTATATTAGCTTGGTGCTACAGCATATTATTGTTTGTTTGAATGTTGTCTAATTCAAGTATTTGCACCAAATGCTCGTATTATCTAGTGTATTTCCATGTGACATTTGGTTTAACTTATATAGTTGCAGGATGTTTATTTTGATTCAACCTTTGTCTCTTGAATAGTACAACAGATGTGTGCTAATTGATACATAGATCAGTTATTTGCTAAAATTTCCATGTAGATGAGCAAGTGAAGTGTTGGTGCCCACCACTTGGGAGTTTGTGTAACATCAAGTGGAAAATGAGTCTGACATCAACAATTAAAACCTAATCAACTTCAGCTGATCTATCCAGCAAGCAACTAGCTTTGATAATATATCTATGACAAAAGATTGTTGATTTTCAAGAAGTGATACACATTAATACTAAGTATGACAAATTCAGTCCCTGCTTTGCATTGTAGGCTTTCTTTCTTCATCACCATTTCTTTACTAACTTTATTTGACTTTTAACTTTTTTTACATGGGTTATTATACAAGACACCTTAGATATATGCATGAGTAATACTATCACATGAAGCATTTAGTAATAATCAGTTGGTATGATGTTTAGGAATCTCTATACTTCTCCAAGTTTACTTAAATTTTTCTTCAAATAGATTTTTATGTCATTGATCTTTTCAAATATGATACTAGTTTACTGTAAGGACTGAGCCAACTTAAACTTTTAATTATATTAATAGGGACCTAGGAAAGTTTATTGAATCATAACTAGAACTCAAGTCCAATTTTTTGGCTGGTTGGCTTGGAGAGGAAGGATAAAGACCTCTAGCTATTTTCAAAGAATTGGCATTCTAAATGGTGAAGCTAATGTAAATTGCATTTTATGAAATGAAGAGGTGGAAGACTTAAACAATGTGTTGCTCTTTCATCCTTTTATTTGGAAGGTCTGGTCTTATATTATCATATGGTGAGGCTTGCAATGGGTACTACTTGGCTCTATGAATTGCTTATTACAATGGTGGGTTGGTATTAAATTTAAAAAAACAGGATAATATAATCTGGAAGGCTAGGGCAGAGTATTTAGGCTGGTGATTTTGCTTTAGGTTTGTGCTGACATTACTTGTTTTTGCTATACAACCTTTTGTGTACCATTTCCTAATTCCATGCTTCCATACCCATTTAGGCTTTAGTTACTTTAAACTTTGTATTAATCATTTCTACACCTATATAATCTCATATTAAACAATCTGAATTTTTTTGTATGGTTGGGATTGTTTATCTTATTTTTGGTTGAATATGAACCGTTAGATTGAAGGTTTACCTTAAGGATTAAACTAGGATTAGTAAAGGACCTATTTATACATCTTGTGGGACTATTTTAAAGGGAAAAAAACACAACTTTTCTGAATCTTGCAGTTCTCTTTGTTTTTGTTGGGGAAATTTGGTTGTTAACAATTTTGGATTATCAGCTGAATTATGAGAGGGGCAATTGTTGAGCAATCCAAGTTAAGAAGACTGAGGATGTTGATAAGGATAAGAAGAAGAAGCGTTAATCCAATCCACGATCCAAACAAAATTCCTCTGTTTCAGGTAATTTCACATATGTATATATATAGATATAAATATATGTTAAATTGTTTGATATCTTCTTTGAAATTTTTGTTGTAGTCATTGTTGTGATTTAACTAAGTTGGGGCACAGAACAAAGTTGACTTTGGAATAAAGTGGAATGGAAATTGACATTTTTTTTTTTTTGGGGGGGTATTCCATTCTTACTCTCATTGTATTCATTAACATGAACAATTCAAATTTTTGTGTTATGAAAATTTGTGCATCAATCAGTGTTTTTTTTTTTAAGGAGGGGTTGGTAAAATGAAAACCATTTAGTTGTTGGATGTGAACTTTGATTTAAAGGCTATTTTTGGTGTCTGAAAAACTGAAGGAAAGAAAAAAGTTATGATTTTGAATTTAGGTCTCCACTTAAATTGATTCTACTGCAAATATTTATCTTTAGTTGAATTGAGGTTCTCTTTATATATATATATATATTTGGTTGTACATTATTCTTTGGGACAAAGTGAAAAGGAAGCAATTTTGTGCTTTTCGTGTGGAAAATGATACTCTGCCTGGTAATGAGAAGACAATGTATCTGTTAAAAAAATTTGCATATAGAAAAAACAAGAACACCTACATAATTGTAATCGTTCGATTATTTGACCTTTGAGTCCTTTTTGGAAACCAAAGGGCCATGTGAATCAAAATTCTGGCTATGTTTGCTAGAGTTATTTAAAAAAAAAAAAAATAACGTTTTTTGTACTCAAAGTAGCATAAAATAAAAAAAGAAATTGAAATCAAAATTCTGGTTATAAAATTGCTGATTTTTTTTTTAATCCTTTGTTTCTTAAGATAGACTTTAACGTGAATTTCTTGAGGTGATATTTGATTTGGGTGACTAAATCTTTTACAGTATATTCCTCATTGGTTTGAAACCAAATGAGCCATATTTGAGCGTTTTTTCGAACGATATACAATCCTCTTATCGATAGCAATTATATGGCCATATACAGCATTTCTGACTGCAGCAGGTGCATATAATAAAAGGCCCCCAAATATTCAGTCTAGTTGCCGTGTTGACCGCTCTGGGATCCTTGAAGGCGCTTCTTGGTATGATCATTCCTAAACTTGCATTTCACTTAGTCGCTCTTCTAATCTTAGGCCTTGTGCATTATTTAATATATTTTTCCATGCTAATTTACACTATGATTTTGTTTCTACTTTTTAGTTTAGTATTTTGCTTCCTAAAACCTAGTTTCACAATATGTTATGGCATAAACGGAGCGGTCTACTTTTCTGTAGTTTCCATCCTTGGGTTTCTTGTTGAAATAGAATTGGCAAAAATATCATCTGATATTCTGACTAATAAAAAAAAAGGAAGAGGTGACTGATACTGGTGCTTCCTTTTCCTACCTTCAGAATTTGGGTTTTTTGTTGCAAGGTGAATCTAGTTTTACTATTCTTTTTACTGTTGTAATTAGAATTAGATTAAGTGTAAACATCTTCAAGGAAGCCAAGTAGGAACACACAAATTCTGCTTACGTATCAGTAGTTTAAGTGGTATAGGGGTGGGTGCGGATCGGTTGCGGCCACGGAACCTCCAATCCGTCATTCGTCCGCTAAATTGGCGGATTGGAGAAAATCAATCCGCATCCGTCCGCCAATCCGGCGGATGTGGATTGAGCAGTTTGGCGGTTTGGCGGATGGATGCGAATCGGTTTGGCGGTTTAAGATTTTATAAATTTTTAACATAATTCAACTTGTGCACTTTCTAAAAAAAAAAAAAAAAAGTATTACAGTCAATGACTTAAAAAACTATTACAATTACTGTATGTCTCATCCAAAAAAAGAAAGTTTGAAACTTTATAATATCACAATCACTGCATGGCTCATCCACATATTACAATCACAGCATGATTCATCCACATAAAGTATTACAATCTTTGGTTCTTAAAATATAATAACAATTCAAACCACCAAAACCATGAACATGGCAGCAGTAGAGATTGTATGTCTCTGTATTGTTACATCTATATATGTTTTTGAAAACAAAAACCAACTAGCATATATCATATTTTCTATTTATTATTTTTAGAGTTAAATTTAAAAACTAAAAAATATAGATAAATAATACGTTTATTTTTTTCAATTCAAAAAATATATTGAAGTTGAAAACTTTTTTTCAACAGAATATTTAAACTCTTTTTCAATTGAAAACACAAACAAAATATTTAAACAAATTAAAAACATAAAGTCTTATAAATTATTAGAGGTGCTCGCGGTTAGGCGGCTCGGTTGCGGCCAAAGGAATCTCAAATTCGTCATCCGTCCGCCAAATTGGCGGATTGGAGAAAATCAATCCGCAACCGTCCGCTCGTCATCACACATCCGTCCAAAATGCGGCGGATCAGTTCGGTTCGGTCGGTTTTGGCGGATCGGTGTATCCGCTGCTCACAGCTATGGTATTCTAAGAACCCAATTAAAAATAATAATAATAAAAATTAAAAATTAAAAAAAACTCTTTTGAGTTCTATGGTGTTTACATGAGTGGTGCTATGCAAACCAAAATTCTGTATAGAATTTTGATCCAAATAATGTGGTAACCTTTTGTCCTATCACTTTAAAAACAAAAGTCCAGTGGTCCATCAATGCGACTAATTGTTTTAAGATTGTTATTATCACATCATTTTGGATAAGAAGCCGGCATTTTTTTTAAAAGAAAAATTAGTAACCTTTTCAAAGAATGATTTAAGTTAGAAGAATTGTTGAAAATGTTGTTGAAAATAGTTTCGTTCTCATCATGTTAAGTAAGGTGAGTTTGGTTATATGCATGGAGCATCACCTACATCTACTTAATCATTTATGTTCATAATTTTAGGAATAGGTAGGCATGTAAGAAACTGGAGTTTTTGCATTTGAATGTGCGTAGAAAAATTGTATTAATAGGCATAAAGTTAGAATTATTAATTTTATAATTGTTATAATTTGCAAAGTATAATATATCAGAATTATTAATTTTATAATTGTTATAATTTGAAATGTCAATTTTATTGAATAAGTGCTAATGGTTTTTTTTTTTTGTTTTTTTGTTTAATTTTTATACAGGTTGCTTTTGCGTGGGTTATTGTGAATATTTATTGTTGTGTACGAAGAGCATTTGTTCTGTGTATGGAAGACATTTATTTTTGTACAATCGTCTGTTTTGAAAATCTAGTGTTTTTGTATGTAATATTTAATTTAGATAAATTATACTTTATTGGTATAGATTTATATGATATTTGGAATATGATGTTACAAGTTAAAGTTTTTGGATAGTTGATAATGAATGGGTATTATTGATAATGGATTTAGATTATAATTGATAGATGTATTATTATGTATATGTACAAGTTAATGTTGCATTGATAATGGAATGCATATAATTTAGAAATTAATGGAAAATATTCAATTTGTGCATTTAAAAAAATTAATAAATAGAGCTTTTGCCAACTAAATAGCTAGTAATAAAAAAAAAAAAAAAAAGGAAAGTTTTTGGCAACTAAAAAATTGGTAGCTAAAAAGGAGCACCATAATTTTAGCGACTAAAAAATTGGTAGTAATAAAAAAAGTGTCACATTTTTAGCGACTAAATAATTGATAGCCAAAAAGAAATCAACGGTTTTTAGCGATTAAATATTTTAGTCGGTAAAACAAAAAAGGCATATTTATTGAAAACTTTGGGCGACTAAATTTTTAGTTGCCAATTGGCGAGTTTCGACAATTAAAAATAAAATTAGTCGCCAATACCTTTCTCAACAATCATCTAGCGACAAAGCAGGCGACCAAAAAGTTTTGTCGCCAAAACTGTAATTTGTTGTAGTGATCCTCTTTCTCATCGAACTATAATTTCAAAATACAAGTTTCGTGTTCAGCTATTAGATACATCATCATTAGCATAGTTCAAGAAACTAGAGGAATTGATACAAAAATTCCCTAGTGGCTTACAAATATCAAGGCAAGGCTTGTTACAACAAAATGGACATGCGGTCCCAAAACATATATGCTCGGAGCTTTCACATAACACATCCATGAGCCTTCGTGCTCTAACAAAACAAAAGAAAGTCCACCTCTTACTCATAAGGGTGGTTGCACATCACCAAGTCCTGAAAATGTTAGATATGAATGAGCTAGATGTGCAGTAGAAATACTTTTAATAAAGTATCTAATTACTCAAACATGCATATGGAATTATCACAACCAAAACATGTTCTTATTCAACACAAGTTAAAGACTTAAACAAGGAAACTTAGATATTATAATTTTCATCAAAAACAAAAATTCAACACCGGGGGTAAATACGCCATGAAGCCCCTAAAGAGAGTCTCAATACATATATATATATATATATATATATAGATTTATATTCAAAATATCCCCACATTTGTCGGGTTATTAATACGACAGGGCATGGGCACCCAAAATCATTCGTTTTTTCATTTTTACCGACTATAACACGGCAGGACCAGTGGACACCCAAAAACACTTTTCCACATTCGTCCGACGATAAGCTCAAAACAGGACAATTGAGAACCTAGACTTTCCCCTACATAGGTACCAACAACACACAACTCTTTCCAAAAATCGACTCCCTACTTGGACTCACATGCTATTTACCACTCCCTTAACAACCTTTTCAAGATTTCCACGTGTTCATAATTCAAGAAAAATTTTAAGAGATTCCATTTCACAAGTCTCAATCAATATATGTATTCAAAATATCATAATCCACTCATTAATTTAAAGAATTGAAAATCAATTTCATCTTTCCCCAAATTTTTCAACTAGAGTTTTCATAAATTTGGGGCTTTTACTACTAAATCATGTTAAACACTAATCCTCAAGTCCAATATCCATAATCCAAAAGCTTTATTCAAAATCTTAAGAAATTTTTTGGTAACATTTAAATATGAAAATACAAGATTCAATTTATGAACACCCTCATGAAATATAGCATCAATGTCACAATAACACCACATAATCATCTAGATAAAGAGATACAAGGTTAAAAGTTATCCTACCTCAAAAATGGAAGCAAAGAAGCTATATCAAGAAGAATTCTTCGAAAACAAACGATTCAATCGGTGGAAATACACCACCTTCACGTAAACTTCTATTTTTGTAAGGGAGAAAGGTGTGAATCTTAGTAAAATGAGAGATTTCTAGAGCAAGAGGGTTAGGGTTTTCGAAGCTAGAAAGAGATGAAAGAATTGAGAAAAGAAAAAGTGAAGAAAAGGTTCTAAAAAGTTACTTTTAAGTGGCTGATATTAGGCAAACCACTTGAGCAGTGAACTTGAACTCTCAGTATTTCAGTCTGCAAAACGAGATTCTCAAATCCCCTTCATATTCGCTCGAGCGACCACTTGACCGCTCAAGCAATCCTTCGACCTACAAAACAAACTACTAGAAGCCTCTTTTCTCTGCTTGAGCGATCTTTTCACTGCTCAAACTGTCACCTAAGATGAATTATCACATATTTAATCAGACTATGCAAGAGTTTAAGTAATCATATGATCGGGAAGATCACAACCTAATGATCCGATAGTACAAACTAAGGACAAATGGTGAGATCGTATGTGGTCTTATACCCGTAACTATCCACTGCCATTCAAGGAACGTGTCTCATACCTCTCAGCCCTTAAGAACTTATATAGATGGAAAAGGTTATTTAGCATAAGCTAATTGAGCAAGGAATAATGGAATTACTTTCGTAATCATACAAGAACTTTTAAAAGATATAGACCATGAATGTATATAAGGTTAGTATACCCCACATGTCACGACCCAAACCCGCCTCTATAGGTTAAACATCGTAACTGGCCAGTAATCCAGGGATTACCGAAGCCCTTTGAGACAAATTAATATGATATTAGGGGCTAGCGGAAGCAAATAACAAATATACAATGTCCATTGAGCTATGCAGATTTATATGAGGCAGAAAAATTTTAAACTTTTTATATACATATATACACATCATCCTTACGTCATTATATATATATATAGATTAGACAAAAAGGGACTTGGCCCTATTTACAAAATGCACAAAGACTTGTTTAACCAAACAAAAAAAAAAAAAAACAAAACAAAACTTAAACTTTAAATCACATAGCCATAGCCACTTGACATATCCGAAACCTCCACGGGAGGCACATAGGTTGGCTGACAAAAACAGATTCCAGGCGCACACTTCTAAGCCTGGTCACGCGCCTGATCACCTACATACATAAATAATACAGTGAACTGGAGCCCAGTGAATAATAACAAGGTAAAGGGATTTTAATAAATGATGTCCATCACAGAGTTAGAAATCAGAGTTTATATCATAAACATATTCTTATCGGAAACAGAGTCTTATGCATATTCAGATTTCAAATCAGAAATAGATTCAGTTACATGTTCATATTCATATTCAAATTTTGCATAAGATCATACGTGGTACACCCATTAGCTATCATGTCAACTTGGTCCTGAGACCCACATGTATAGTCGGTACCGACGACCATAGAGGTCCATATCTTACGCCCAAGTAGCCATGGTATTATTACCCCCAGGCAAGGGCCACGTGAATATAGGCCTCGGTATTGTTACCCCTGGGCAAGGGCCACGTGAATATAAGCCACAATATTGTTACCTATGGGCGAAGGCTACATGCATATTGGCCATGGTATTGTTACCCCCGGGCGAGGGCCATGTGAACTAAAGATGCCACAAATACATTTCAGAAAAATGGGCATTCATTCATAATTCATAAAAATAGCATTTCAGAAAACAGAGCGTATCATATCAGTCAGAAAATACTTGTAATTAAACATAGTTTTACAGAGTTATTGCTCACAGATAGCTGCAGAAGCAGATCAGACAGATTAGACAGATCAGACAAATCAGGCAAACAATAGCGTGTGACCTACACAAGCACATAACATATACACATTGAAATACAATATCAATTCCTTGATCAAACTTGACTTTTCTTGTCTTTTTCTGTCTAAGTAGTCCAAAGTTCTACCATGCTTATTCTTTCTTATTTAAATGATTCGGGTTCTCATTTCACATATCCTTTCATTACTAAATCATTCTTTTCTGAATAAACCAATTTCTTACTTGGCTTCTTAATCAAGTACTACTAAGTTAATAACTTATTCTTTTAATCAACTAATTAATTTTTGTTGTTAGCTTATTAATCTTTATTGAGCCATAAATTATGTCTAGAATGCTTTGGAAAGAGATGAGAATAAATATGTGAATTAAATGCAATTTTCCAAAATATGCTAAAAATAAGGTCTTCGCTCGAGCAGACCTTTGATCACTTAAGCGGTCTGCAAAGCTTTATAAAAATACTGGTTGGCCTTAATGTTCGCTCGAGTGGTGACTTTTCCGCTCGGGCGGCCAACAAATTTCATATGCTTTCAAAATCAGCAAATAATTTCCAAACACATTTTCAAAACTTAAACTCTTACATGAACCAATTTAAACATGTAATTTTATTAATAAAGATGAACCAATGACTAATTTTTCAATTTCTAATACAAAAATCTTTTTGATCATTAAGATTAAAACCAATAATTTCATGAATATAATAATTCCAACATTCTTCTTCTTTGTTTTATAAAACATAAATTAAAGCTATAAAACCCTTTCAAATATTTACATATAAGAAATTTAAATCAAAATCAAACTAATTTTTGATTCTCAAATATAAATTATAATTTATTTCCATATTAATTAACCTTAACCATGTTCATGAATTAATTCTTTAATTCCTCCAAATTACGTGTATGTAGAAATAAGATTCAAATTCATATAAGACATTCAAAATCAAACCCAAAATAATTAATTTCCCAAATTAACTTCTTTAATTTTGAACCTAACTCAATTTCTTTATCCGTCTTACTAATTCCTTTCAAAATATCAAATTAAAACCATAACAGTTGCATGTATTAAACTAAAATCAAAATCAAATCATAATTTTGCTCTCTAACTTATCCTAATTTAGATTTAATTTATTTTCTCCATATCAAATCCAATTTCAAACCCACAAATTTTAAAATATGAATTAAATTTCAAAACTCTTGAAAAATTCATAATGCATGTACAATTGAAACTCAATTTCATGTTAAGACAACTAAATTCAAACCCAAAGTGATTAATTTCTAAGTTAATTTTCATAAATTTGAACCTAATCTATTGCATGGATCAAATCTTCAATACATCAT